GTGCGGACTGTCTCATTCGAGATGAAGTCGATATACTTAACTCATAGGTTGGTCAAATACCTCCAGTTTTGCTCATCTTCAGTACGCAAAGTCCAGCATTCACATCCATAGAGGAGGACTGACCGAACGGATGCGTGATAGATATGGATCTTCGTGGCGATGAAGATGTCGTGTCGAATCGATAGGCACTATCTGAGAATTGAGAAAACCTGGCGAGCAACATCGATCCGGGAAACAATGTCGTCCCTACTCTGTCCATTCGGTTCCAGCCTCACCCTGAAGTATTTAAAACTGTCTACTTCTTCTATTTGGCAGCCATTAATTCACAGTGATGTCTTCTCTTAATCAGCGATGCACCTCGCATTATTCTCATTCCAATAAGATAGCTGGTCTAACTTGCTAGGTGGAAGTCAACATAGTAGTGTTCCCGGTCCGAGTGACAAGTTGACCATGTTTTCTCTGCGATTTCATGTTTGACTGAGTGTATCTATTCTTCATACATTGTTTTTTCCAATATTTTTAGACCCTTTCTCCCCTGGACATGTACCCACGTATTCTCAACTTCCATCCGGCCAATGTGGCCTCCTTTGCAATGACTCTCACTCGAAACTGCATCTGTCCAATGGTGATTCAGTCCGCTTTTGTCTTTTATTGAGTTATTTTTTCTGTTGTCCCCTCGCCCTCTCATATTCTATTTGCAGTTGTGCTCCTTCAGCTGCGTACCTATCGATATTTTTGGTTGGCCTTTCCTTGCAGATCGTATCGAAGGGCAGTGATCAGGTTGCCATGACAACAAAATTTGAGAGCCGCGAAGATCTGGGTGAGTTCTACTTTTCATACAGTCAATGAAACCATCCGGAATTTGTAACTTTGGTTTATAGAGCACAGATGGTATAAAAAAGGAGGGATACTGCAATGATGCACTTTAGAAACTGGGTAAAGTAGAAACCTTTTCGAGCAGTGGAACAATTAGTTTATTGTTCCGAACATTCAAACTCTTATAGGAGTTCATCGTCAGAGGTAAGAACAGCAAGAAAAGGGGGTAATTATACAGGGGGTATACCCCCGTCAGTCATGCAAATTTGGACGTGACTGCGCAGGGCTCTGTTCGCCGGCACCAAATCGATATATCGATCGATTGAGTTCCTATCCGTGAACCAGGCTTTAATCAATCAATAAATTGATGCATCGATTTGGTGTCGACACACAGAGCCCCGCACGGTAACTTGCAGCCCAGTCCGACGCCCTTCATTGGCAGTTGCTTGGTGTATACCCCCTATAATTGCTCCCTTTTTGTTGCGGTTCTTACCTCTTCCAATGAACTTCTGTGAGAGTTTGAAAGTTCAAGACAATAAACCATTTGTTCCGGTGCTTGATATATGCAGATGTCTGGAGCGCGAACTTTCTCATTAGCTTAAGCAACTTTCGATTAGGCACGGGAAGAATATGCGTAAAAAATGGAGTGTGCTTTTTTTGGGGGGGGGCTTGTGTCTAGAACTACTGTCTCGATTTCCCTAATGTTGGAAATGTCTGCTTCATAGATTAGAATGGGGTAGGTTTTGACTGACCGCTAGCGTTTGAAAGTCAGTGACCTCGGGGAAATTTTAACCCGCGACAGCAACGGCTAGGTTTTGGTCTAGCCCACAGGCTGTAAGGGATCTACCGTTTTTTCCAGATTTGGACTAAGTTACCCGCCAGGCATTCGTCTGGTGGATTTCGGCCAGATTGTCTTAGAAAGCCTATTTTTTGAATTTCTGGATTCCATAACTTGTAGGCACTTTAAACCAGTTGTGAAAGCACAATGTTCCCGGTCGCAGATACGAGTCCCACTGTGGTCCTCGTTTTTCATAATTTATTTGTCTGCTAAATTAAATATTAAAATCCTGAAAAGCATATTTTAAAAAACCTACTTGCCAAACCTAGGGTACGTAATCCCACTGGAAAACTACAGATGTCTAATATAAATCTCAGCACTTATTCACAATCCTCACCCCAATCGCTAAAAGTAACCCTCCCTCTAACAATCAACCTCCAGCTGAGAAGAAGATGACTTGATTGCTGGAACAATACTTTTATTCGCCTGACCTTTCGACATCCGTCGCGAATTCATCATCAGAGACATTAGCAGAAAACAGAAAACGGTCACACTAAGCCTGAACGCTTAAGCATAAACCTGAAATCATAAATCCAGACCTTAAAACTCCTAAACCTAACACTAAAGCCGTACTCCCACCTGTAACCCCTGCCTTTGTACCCCTAACCTCGTTCACGCCATTGTCAAGCAAACTGAGGCACACCACATCTACCTAAACAAATTAGTAGTTCGTTCGTGAACATCAACCCACTGGGA